TTGCAGTGAGCCGAGATTGCGCCACTGCATCCAGCCTGGGCAACAAGAGCAAAACTCCGTCTCAAAAAACAAAACAGAGAGAGTGGGACTTCTGGCTTCTGAGCAGTAACCTTTGTTGTGCTAACGACGAAAAAGAATTAAATATGGGTGATGTTGAGAAAGTCAAGAGGATTTTTATTCAGAAGTGTTCCCAATGTCACACCGTGGAAAAGGGAGGCAAGCACAAGACTGGACCTAATAATCTCCATGGTATCTTTGGGTGGAAGACAGGTCAGGCCTCTGGATTCACTTACACTGAAGCCCATAAGAACAAAGGCATCATCTGGGGAGAGGATACACTGATGGAATATTTGGAGAATCCCAAGAAGTATATCCCTGGAACAAAAATGATTTTTGTAGGCATTAAGAAGAAGGGAGAAAGGGAAGACTTAATAGCTTATCTCAAAAAAGCTACTAATGAGTAATAATTGGCCACTGCCTTACTTATTACAAAACAAATGTCTCATGACTTTTTTATGTGTACCATACTTTAATAGATATCATACACCAGAATTTACATCATGAATGACTGACAAAATATTTTGTTGGGCAGTCCTGATTTAAAACTAAGACTGGCTTGTGGTTAAATGAGTATGTTCAGTTTTTGGATTTTAATAGTAATTCCAATTTAGTAAATTCTATCACTGTTTACCCCTTCTAAAGATATGATTCGACTTCGTTAGTAATGTTAAATTTTTCGCAAAGATGGTGAGTGCTATCTTAAAACTTACTGGAGATTGGTTTTATATTTAGATTTATATAACTGGTTATGTGAATATATTTAAATATGGGAGAAATTCCTTCACTGTCTCAGAACCAAGCAAGATTCACCTGTGTTTTGTGTTCATTTGCCTCTTAAAGACAAGGGTTGAAGATAAATGGGTAGCAATGGCTATTTTATATTTTTGGCCTTAACTATGCCAATCTAATTAGAATTTCCTGTATTTAAAATGGTTCCTTTTACTTATTGAAAGGCATTTTGTGTGGTTTATGTGTAATATCAAAAATTATTTAACACTTCACACATTTTATAGATGATCTATAAGGTCACATGCTTTTAAAATAGTAGCCAATTAAACTTCACTCTCGGATTCTTTACAATATAAGTCAAACTAAGTTATAATTTACGATTGTCTTTAAACAGCCATTCAGAAACAAAACTGTACAACTGCTGTGTATTTGTGATTGGGAATGGTGCTTTTGCCAACTTAAAGGGATTAAAGTAGAGGATATATACACAAATTTAAAAATGATGTGTGATCATATGACTTAAGATAATTAAAAAGAAAACCACAGATAAAAAAAACAAAACAAAACAAGCTGAAATGAAGGAGGAAATAAAATTAACTACAGATAATCTTTTTCTCTGAAAACATTTTCTGTTTTCAAAACAAAACAGAAAACCTCCCTGAGACGTCATTAAGAGGAGACATTAACAGCAAAGTAAAATTATTACGCTTAAACTTTCACATCACCTATAAATACTTAAACCAGAAACAAAACTGCTTGAATGTGACACTGTTTACTAAAAACAGAAACAGTGTTCTAATGGCTAGAAAGGTTTCTACTGGTAGTTCATTATGCAAAGGGAGAGGTTCCTTCAGTCTGCCAAGCTCTTCTTAGGAGATCTTCTAACAAAACAAAGATGAGAAATCTTTCTTTTTTTTTTTTAATGAGTTGTCCAGGTCCCTTGGCATTTTTAGAGAAATCAAAAGATTAGTCTACAAAACAGCCCCGGTGTTTACTAATTTTATCTAAACCATTCAGAATTATACCGGCTTTATCAACAATTAGTTGAATCTGATTTTCCACTGTGCCCCAATCTAGTCCTCTGCTTAAATTATCTAAAGTAATATCTTACACTTTTCCAAGTTATCGTGCCAAGTTAGAACTAAAGCCTCAACTTTGAGCAAATCACCCCAACAGAGTACACATTTCCTAGTCCAGAGAGGTTAGCCAACAGACAGAAAAAAAGTCACAATGGCCTAGAATAAATCTGATAAAAATCCAACACTGAACTGAATGACCAAAATACATATATATATATATGTATCTCAGAATACCTATGGTCTTAGACAAATCTAGTCTTGCCTAGAATTACTCATGTAGACAATTATAACATTAATCTTGTAAGATTTACTAAAGAAAGACTATATAATACTGTGATTAAAAACACGACTATGAAAGATGATTGCCTAAGATCAAATCATGGCTTTGTTACTTCACCTGCTGTGTGACTTAAGACAGTTACTTAAGGTCTCGGCTTCTATTTTCTCATCTGTACAATGAGAAAAGTAATAGTGGGAATACAGGGAAAGTAATAGTGCCCCTCTCCTGAGGCTAATGTGAGGATTAAAAGAATTACTGTATATAAAGTGCTAAGAATAGTTCCTGGGACATGGTAAGCACCATACCAATATGGGCTATTATTTATGAAAACAAATGGGATGACTAGTAACTACCAGGTTTTCCCAAAGGTACAGCCTTTAAAATTATCCAACGAGTTCTCTATGTAATACAGCTCTGGGCTCTTGCTAGCTGATCCAGTCAACCAATACTCACTCAGCATCTGCTTTATGCCAGGCATTATGCTCCCACTGTCAAAGTCCCAGTTCTTTTACTGGTGAAAATTAGCTTAAGTAGCCTTATTCTTATTAAAACTTACAAGTCTGTGTGCCATTTGAATTGTAACTAGTTATTTCTTGTTGATTTTACTTAGTTACTTCCTTCTCCCTTTTTCCATTTACTTAAAAAGCCCCAACTTTTCAATAACAGAAAGTTTCAAACACACACACAGATTGAACAAGAGTATAATAAATTCCATATGCTCATTATTCAGTTTCAATCATTAAACATGAGAAATATTTTATCTATATCCTACCCCAGTTATTTTAGAGCAAATCCCAGACATATTATTTCCTTGTAACTAACCAGTATTATCTTTTTGGTGTGTGTGTTAGACAGAGTTTCACTTTTGTTGCCCAGGCTGGAGTACAATGGCACGATCTCAGCTCATTGCAACCTCTGTCTCCTGGGTTCAAGTGATTCTCCTGCCTCAGCCTCCCAAGTTAGCTGGGACTACAGGCATGCACCACCATGCCCCACTAATTTTTTTGTATTTTTAGTAGAGACAGGATTTCAACATGTTGGTCAAGCTGGTCTTGAACTCCTGACCTCAGGTGATCCACCCATCTTGGCCTCTCAAAGTGCTGGGATTACAGGGTGAGCCACTGCATCCAGCCTAATCAGTTATCATCTCTAAAAGATAAAAAAACTCTTAATATAATACACCATAACATTATCACACCTAAAAATTAATTATTTGGTATCAAATAATCAGTGTTCGAATTTCCCCAAAGGTCACAAGTGATTTTGTAAGTTTTAAAAATCAATCCAGATGTAGCAATCAGATGATGTGTTGATAATGACCTTGATAGTAGTGTCAGTGTAGTTATAGCAGCTGAAAGGCAGATTGAAGTAGGCCAAGAAATTAGCAGAAATAAGGAAATAAAGCTTATTGCATATGCTCTTCTTTAAGAGGTTCAAATACGGGAAAGAACAGAGAAACTGCAAGATAAATGCAGAATCAAAATCAAAGAGAAGGTGACTGTGTTTATAAACTGAAGAGAGGAAGAAGCTGAAGACATATGGGAAAAAGAAGAAATTTAACAAAGATCCTAGAGATGAGACAGCACAAGATCAAAAGCACAGGGGAAGGGCTAACCATGAGTAAGTGAGGCCTGATACTGAAGGAAAGGAGGTTAAGATTAAATGTGAGATCAGGCAAGTTTCTCTTGTGGCATGTAGAAGTGAGGGGGAAATGGGGCCAACACTTAAATCACCCCCAAGTTTTCTCAGTCCCTAGTTTTCTCAAGCGTTAGGAGCAAAATCATTTATTAAAAGCAGGTAATGCAGGCAAGTGTGAGTAGAATGTTGACATTGTGGATAACATATAAGAAGACTGAAAGAAATAACTACACATGTGAAAGAATTAATCCACATTCTAATCCTACACAGCTTTCAAATGTCACCCTTTCCATGAAGCTTTTCCTTAACCAAAGGTAATTTTTCTTCATTAGAACCTTTGTTTTTAGTTCTCATAATCGTTTACTCATACTGTATCATCTATGTATTTCCCTTTTTCCCAGTGGCTAATCTGTGCATACTTGGTAGGTGCTTACTTATCTATGCAGCACAGGAAAGAATACAGTATGTTACAACATATAATTTAGAGTCCTGTTAACTTTTTTAAAAAGGAGCACAACTTTACACTGAAAGAAGAAAAGCTGAGAGTCCATGAGGCTGGGGCAAGTGAATAAGGCCAAACAGAGAACACTCACTTGAGCTAGGCATGGAAAGGATGAGAAGACACAACAGGAATTAACCTAAATAGAAAAGTATAAATAGTGAATAGTGAAGTGTGTCAAGGACTGATTTCAATAATCTTATAAAAGACAGTACTATTCACAGCTAAAACTAAATAAAACTAAGCTCTTCCAATAGTAAAGAGGTTTTGTTTAAAAAAAAAAAAAACGTTTAAAAAAAAATACAATGTGTCGGTGAATAAAAAAGTGGCAGTTTTAATGTGGACAAGGTCATTATGGGGAAATTGATCCAAACTCTAAGTAAAATATGATTTAAAAAAAAAAAAAAAAAGCGTATCACATTCTAGTGAACCAAACAGGAAACAGGAAAAAAGAACTATATACTAGACAAATAATTTAGATGGATTCACAGCTGGCTGAACAATGACAAGTATAGATCTTTAGTGACAAGGCTCAACAGCTTAATCAAAGTGTAGATAAAAGTGGTAAGAAAGAAGACTTACTACTAAGTTCTGAGGATTAACTGAAGAGGGTAGCTTTAACAGTGTATGAAATCTATTTCAAAAGCTTACCACACAAATAAAAAACTTTGACTTTTGCCATCCCCAGATGTACATAAGGGAACATCCATCTGACTCTTGCCCTAAGACATTTTTCTCTGGCCCTCATTCGCAGATTTAAAGAATAGGCAGAAAAAAATCTGGGAACTATGGTTCCCTCAAGACCTCTGCTCCTTGGCTGAGAAATAAAAAACTAATGTCCTAGTACCTCAACTCCATTGGAGTTATACTAGCAACAACCACTCCCAACTCTATTGCAGCCTAAAGCCCAGCTAACAACAGACCTCCGCACCTCTTTCTTTCCACTAGCAAGTGGAGGAATAATGCATGTCACGTGCTCAAACTAAACGGTAAGTAGAGGCTCAATTTTTAGCGTAACTCTCTGAATTCTAGAGACACTATAAAACTGACTCATTACCAGGCACAGTGGCTCATGCCTGTAATCTCAGCACTTTGGGAGGCCAAGGCAGGCAGATCGCCTGGGATCAGGTGTTTGAGACCAGCCTATCCAACAAGGTGAAACCTCATCTCTAGTAAAAATACAAAAATTTGAATTAGCCGGGCATGATGGTGGGTGCCTGCTGGGAGGTTGAGACAGAAGAATCTCTTGAACCTGAGAGGTGGAGGCTGCAGTGAGCCAAGACTGTGCTACTGCACTCCAGCCTGGGCAACCAGAGCAAAACTCTGACACACACACACACACACACACACACACACGGAGCAAAACTCTGACACACACACACAGAGCAACTCTCACACACACACACAGCAAAACTCTGACACACACACACACACACACAGCAAAACTGAGACACACACACACACACACACACACACACACACACACACCCTCCCCGAGACTCACTGACTTTACCAGAGTCAGGTATTACAGATCTACATAATACCCAGAGTACCAGTTTGTAGCTTCTGTCTTGACCAGATTTTGGAGATAAGTTAGCTGTGCAGCAGTGACACAAGTAATAGTTCTCAAGTCCAGAAGGCCATTATAGTCTACAAGAAGGTTCAAAAAGTTTTTTTCTAAAAGGTCAGGTGGTAAATATTTCAAGCTTTGTTGACCATATACTCCCTGTTGCAATTACTCAACTCTGCCACTGTAGCACAGAAAACAGAAAAATAGGCATGGCTACGTTCCAATGCCTATGTTTTATTAATAAAAACTGCTGGCAGGCAGTAGTTTACCAACATTTCTGGTCTACAGGGTGGTAAACAGGTCTAGTTTTGGTCAATTCTAACACTATTCTAGATGTAATATTTTATTTCATGTTTTAAAATAGAAACACACATGTCTTCATACAATCCTAATTCTATTAAAAATTCATAAAAAGGCTGGGTGCAGTGGCTCATGCCTGTAATCCCAGCACTTTGGGATGCCAAGGCAGGTGGACTGCTAGAGGCCAGGAGTTCAAGACTAGCCTGACCAACATGGTGAAAACCCGTCTCTACTGAAAATACAGAAATGAGCTGGGTATGGTGGCGCTCACCTGTAATCTCAGCTTCTTAGGAAGCTAAGGCATGAGAATTGCTTGAACCTAGGAGGCAGAGGTTGCAGTGAGCCGAGATCATACCACTGCCCTCCAGCCTGGGTGACAGAACAAGGCTCTGTCAAAAAAAAAACAAAACAAACAAACAAAAAAACTAAAAAAAGTCTGGGAGGAAATAGCAAAATAAAATGTAAATAAATAGTGATTGGGATGGAAAGATTATGGATAATTGGTCATATATATCACCATTTTTTTAAGTTTAAAAATGACTCACAATGCCACATTACAAAATGAGGCCATCAAAAAACATACAGGTTGACCATCCCAAAT